AAGGTTCATTTATTTCTAATGTTCGTTATTCATAACATTAGCTTACCCTATACCAGAGGTTCGTTATTCATAATGAAGAAAAGGGTTCGCTATGCATAAAAAATAAGGACCACCCTTCATAAGGTTCGCTAATCATAAGCAAGAAAAGTGGTCGCTTTTCATAATTTATTAAAGGGACCACAAGGCATAAGGTTCGCTAGTCATAAAGTTCGCTACTCATAATATAGGTAAAGGACCGTTATCCATTTGCTAAAAGCAACAATCGGAGGCTCCGAAAATAGTCTTTTCATATCCTCTGATTTGTGTAGGGTCGGCATATGTTTCCTAATTATGTGAGACGCATTAGAGAGTCTTGGATCATAAGTGAGAACAAGGGAAACCATGTTCATTTGTTTCCTTTTATTATATTTAAGGAGGTCACGTCTGGGCTTTTGTTTACCTTTATTTATAGATTCTATTACCATATTCTTTTTGTAATTTCTGTTAATTAAGCCAATTAAAGACAAAAAATGAGAGGTTCAACAGTAGCCAAAAAAAAAGAATGTTTTGTATTATCTGTCATATTTTATTTCCTAAATATATATATACACAAATATACAAAACCTGTCTCTTATACACATCTAGATGTGTATAAGAGACAGCAATTACACAGACATGCTTCGGAAAACCAATTTCCCTCATCAGTGCGAATCTAGGGCGTTAGGTTCACGTTATTTATAACTACTTTCACCGTGTATGTAAATTACATGACACACTTATCCTAACAGCTGACAAAACAGAGTATTCAAAACTTTAGAAAGCTAAATAGAAAGCGTGATATTTAGGTGCGTCAATTGTTTGTTGGTGATCCGCGTCACCAGCGGATCACCTCTTATCTTGTTATTCTTCTTTCTTTCTCCCCTTTTCTGTTCGCACGATATCTCAAAATTGCCGCGAGCTACGAACATTACCGCGAGCTACGAACATTTGGGTTGGCCTGGAATAGTCACAGTAAGATTTTAAACGTGCTCAGTCTTGCGTGACGGTATCTACGCGCAATTTTGCTTTCTTACATTATCGACCATATCATCCTACATTGTAATTTCTCAATCATATTTAGTGGGCATGAACTTCAGGTCAAGGTTAAATGTCAAGTACAGAAATATGTGGCGTGCGCGTCATAACGCGTGCGTCAAAATTTTAAAACGCTCAAAATCACTTTTTGACTAAATTAGAGCACGTTTCAGGCCATTTTGAGCATTTCAAAATTTGACATTTTTCACTACGCGCACGCATTGTGACGCGCGCAGCTCGTACGGAAGCTAGAAATTACGTTTTCTTTAGATATTTTGGGTTCCTGACATGGTTTTCACAAATTTCTATTCCTTTCAGTCATCTTATGGCCAATAGCAATGCTGTACGTGCGCATCAAACATAGGGATCTTTGCGCGCGTTTGTGCCGACATACAGTAAAAATATGCTAAACTCAGGCCTATTTTTAATCAGTTATAACTCGTTAGGATGACCCCCAATTTTTATTACATATTCTGAAAGCACATTATGCATGATCGGACATTGTGACGTCATCATATTGCCATCTGAATTCAAAAAACTGAATTTTTATAAATGACGTCATTATTTTTCTACTCTTTTGAACATATCTTGCTAATTCTTGATAGATTGTCTTCCACCTGAGAGTATGTTATAACTGAGAAAATTCTCTTTCGGAAGTGTCCCCTTATTTTTCATTTTGATTTTGATGACGTCATAATAGTCGAAAAGAATGAATTTTTGGAGCCTTCTCGTCTCTCTTAAAATTTATCTAAAAATCATTGACGACAGAGGGCGGCAGACTGTATTTCGACGCTATCAGACTGATATATAGTACATAAGGGAAAATTTGTTTGGCATTACCAACCAACAGGTGTTTTTAAGTTACACTTGACAAGGTTCAATTTCGTGTCCCATTACCGCCCACGCGCACGTGAGTGTACGGTGAAATTTGGAAATTCTCAATATCACTTTTCATATAATTTAAATCGTGTTTCAGGTCATTTTCAGCATCCCAAAACTTTCCATAATTTACGCACCGTACGCTCATTTCCACGCGCACTGCACGTACAGAAGCTGGAAATTACGTTTTGTTACATATTTTGGGTTCCTGACACTGTATTCATATCAGGGGCCACATTTATCAAACTAGAAATAAGCTTAAATTCGTCTTTGCGAAGTCAAATTTATCCATATTGCTTAAAATTAGAAAGTCGATTGTACGTTGGCACCATCTAAGACGATTTGTAAGCCAAGATTTTGTAATAAATCAGCTTAAGATATTTATTAGGGACATCTTAACTTTTTTTGACTTAAGACATTTGCTAAGCTGACATTGATAAATCCAGGGCGAGGAGTAAACTTTTTGTGCCATTAACATGCGCACAGGCGCCAAGACGTCCGCGTACGCAAGTGAAAATCTTCTCAAATGTTTAAAATTATACTTTTAAAAAACCAACTAGAGCATATTTTAGGCCATTTTGAGCATTTAAAAACATTTCAATCCGCTCCGCTCGCGCTTCCTGAGGGTCAAAGTGCGGCGGATCACCAAACTCATCCTCAGTGACAAATCTAGTTGGTGATCCGCTTCACGAGACTAGTTGAATTTGTTGACATTTTCCACTGCGCGCGTGCATTTTTACGTGCGCAGCACGTACGTAAGCTAGAAATTACGTATTTCTTAAACATATTTTGGGTTCATGACATTGTTTTTACAAATTTCCATTCTTTTTAATAATCTTATGGCTAATAGCAATGCCGTACGCGTGCATCAAACATAAGGATCTTTGCGCAGGTTTATGCCGATATACAGTGCAAATATGCCAAAATCAGGCATATTTTTAATCAGTTATAGCTGAATTTTTATTTATGACGTCATATTTTTCTACTCATTTGAACGTATCTCGCTTATTCTTGATCGATCGTCTTCCACCACCTGTGAGTATGTTATAGCTAAGACTATTCTCTTTCGGAAGTGTCCCTTTATTTTTCATTTTGATGACGTCATCATGGTAAAAAAAGAATGAATTTCTGGAGCCCTTTTATCTCTCTTAAAAATGTAAAATACCACAACAGAGGGCGGCAGACTGTATTTTAACGCTATCAGACTGCTGATATATAGTTCATAAAAAGGGAAAATTCGTGTGGCATTACCAACTAACAGACAGTTTTAAAAACAATTGACAAGTTTTAATTTCGTGTGCCATTACCGTCCACGCGCAGACAGTGACGTGCGCGTGCGTTAAAATTTGAAAATTCTCAATATCACTTTTCAGATAATTTAAAGCACGATTTACGCGCCGTACTGAAACTGGAAATTATGTTTTGTTACATATTTTGTGTTTCTGACATTGTATTTCTATCAGGAGTCAACTTTTTGTGCCATTACCGTGCTCACTGGCGTCAAGACTTGCGTGTACGCATGCGTAAATCATTAAAAATGCTCAAAATTACTCTTTTTAAAAAACTACTTACAGCATATTTTAGCATATAAAACTTTTCAATCAGCACCACGCGAGCTTCATGAGTCCCCAGTGACGAGTTCAAATCTAGTTTGGGGAAGGTTTTTCCCGATTCACATACAAAGCTTCTTTTAGTTTCAGTTGATAGAGTGTATTCGCAGAGTCTAGAACAGTGAAGCAACTTTCATCAGAAAGTTGTCGACAGGATCCCGAGCTCTGCAAATGTTGAAAAATATAAGAGGCCCTGTCACGGACCAAATGTTCACGGACTCGTGTCGATAAATGTCGGCGGGTTTCGCCAATATAAACGGAATTCCATCCGACACAAACACATTTATAAACAGCACGAGAACGGAACAAGTCCGGGACAGGGTCTTATATATATACATATATATACATATACATATATATATATATATATACATACACTATATACACATATTTATATACATATATACCAGTTTAATGTATAGCAATAAGCAGTACTAGTATAATAATGATAATGACCAAAAAAAAAAGAATGTTTTGTATTATCTGTCATATTTTATTTCCTAAATATATATATACACAAATATACAAAACAGAGCACAACTTAAACTACATACTGTTTAAAGCAAAAGGGAATAACACACTCTAATTATTATATTAAGTAAACAATCGGCTATTTTGGTAACTCTGAGAGCACTGGAAATTTTAATAAGAGCAGCAGCAGGAACAATGGTAAGCAATAACAAAAATAAAATGAGTATAGTAATAACAGTAGCAAATAATCTATAATAAATGTACATTTTTGTTTGCATATTTACAACTGCAATATAAAAAAAAGTATAATGTAGGCCAAAAATTTTATTATATTGTTTTTAAGTAAAATTTGTATTATTTACAGACATTATCTTGTTTCAATCAAAATTTCACATTTAATGAGTCCATTTTTTTGTTTTATATCTAAACATACAGAATATAACGTAAACAAGAAACACAGGTGAAACCCCATCACCACCCCCCCCCCCACTCCAAAAAAGTGGGAGAACATAAACAGACATGTGTGATATAAAGTAATTAAAAGTACCAAAGAATGTAAGGCAAACAATAATATATGCATAGCTACAGAAGGATGTAAACAACAACAAAACCACATAGAACTGCATGAAAAAGTGGCAATGTTTGTAAAGCACCATTATTATATTATATTACATTTGTAATTACTGTACTGAAACAAGTCATAAGAAACACAGCAGTAGATCAAGGATGTTGACAACTGACAAGGGGAGAAATATAAAAGAAATATTTTGCGAATGTGGATAGATTGGTTGGTAAAATTGTTATTGAATTTTTAGGTCATAGTTCAAATACAATGATTATGTACAAATCTTTCAATTCTAACAATTAGGGATACATTTTTGGTCATGAAATTTGATTGGTCCATTGTCAATTTAATATTACGAAATGACAGAATCTCTTATACACATCTAGATGTGTATAAGAGACAGATATATATATATAGATGGTACCAATAGTTGGAGATATCAGTTTGCTCCAACTATCATATTTTATTTACTTTAATACAATGATATTTCATTTATATAGAATTTGCAAACATGATACCACTGACAAAGATTAAAAAATAGATCTTTAAAAAATAAGTCTTTATAAGTTCTCAAATTCATTGACTCTATTCTTTGTATCTCCACTCCTACCAGATATTCTGCGATATTTCTCACGGCTGTTACGACGAGTGGTTCCTTTGTGCAACACATCCTCCTGCGTAAGTTTATCATTGTCTTGTGTACTTTCCAATTCTGAACCAAGTTGCTATAGTTAAAAGGGACAGATAAGGTTTGTTTATATATAGTATCTGAATTCAATGTTGATAATGATAATGTAATAAATAACAATGGATAAATAATATTACTCATAATAATTATTAGTATTATTGTTTCAATAATTTATATTTGACAACAGCAATCATCAGACATAATGATAAAACAAAAACATGAAATACTACAATTTTGTGAAATGTAATGGTAAATGGAAATGGTAATAGCATGGTGCAATAGTAATGACAACTGTGTTGGTGTATGGTAATGGCCATGGCAACTGTAATGTAATGGTAGTCGTAATGGCAATAGTTATGGCAATGGCAATGTCACTTACCATTGCCTATGTAATGTAATGGTAATGTCAATGGCAACTGTAATGTAATGGTAGTCGTAATGGCAATAGTTATGGCAATGGCAATACCATTGCCACTGTAATGTAATGGCAATGACAACTGCAGTGTAATGGTAGTGGTAATGGCAATAGTTATAGCAATGCAATGGCACTTACCATTGCCACTTTAATGCAATGGTAATGGAAATGGCAACTGTAATTATAATGGTATGATGATAGCAATGGCATGATAATGACAATAATGATAACAATGATAATAAGAAACAACAATAACAACAGCAATAATAATAACAAATTATATAATAATAAAACATAATATTAATAATAATAAATGTTGAAACTAAATTTCTATTGAAAATGTCAGACTATTTCCTGTTCACTTATTTCGTTGAAAATAATGTCAATCATATAATTTGCAAAAAATCATATTGATATAAATTGTAATAAAAATAATTCTTTAAATTGATTACCAGCAAAAAATCTATGCAAAGTGTGTTTGGGTGTTTGTGGATGTGTGTGTTGTTTTTACTTTGTCTGTTTTTTGCTTCCTTTTTCTTATTTTATTTTTATTTTTTTTATTTTATTTTTTTTTTTTAGTATTTTAATGTTTGCTGTTTTAAATTTTATGACTAAATTGATAGATTGGCTATATTTCTACATGTATTTTATATTTTTGTATTTAAGTGGGCCCCTGAACATCAGATTTATCCTGTAAGGGTCGCCCTCTCAAAATATGGTTTTAAATAAATAAATAAATAAATAAAATAAATGAGTTAATTATTATTTATTAATTTTCACATTAATATCTGTGATCAGGGTATTGCATATAGACAATATAATGTCCTGTTTTACAACACAACCATTTTTTAAGCCTTTGTAAAGATAGATTGATAAGGGCCAAGGTCAGCTGACCTCTCTGGTTTTAAGACAGACTGATTAAACATTTTCAGAGAAATTTTTTTTGCAGGAAATATGCTAGAAACTGTGGAGATAGAACTGAGTTAAAGGTGTTTGATTAATAGTATGTCTAGTCTTGAGTATTTTTAGTATGTTTGCACAGCATTCTACCGTACGTGAATACTGAATATATTGGATAAAGGTTTGACCTTTAAAGAAAAACTGCGTCATGAAAAAATATATGAAATGTGGTTAACCATACAAACAGAACATAATGCAAATGATTTGGCCAATCGACAAGAGTCTAAAATAAATACAGTAAGCCTATGTTAGGGAAGGGTCACCAATAGAATTAAAGAAACATTCAAAAACCAGTATCTATTCAGTATTTAATTAATTTATTTATTATACAGTTATATAATTTATCAATTTTCACAAAAGTTTGCGATGCGTGGACTACCTAAAACATATGGGTGTTTATCGTCATGTTTACTATGAAAACAAAGGCTTGGGCAGGTTTCAGTCTTTATCAATATGCTATTGCTGCCCAGAATATTCCATAATACGTTTGCCTCATTGTCTGCATAAGTATATGAACTTAGCTTAGCCAAAGCCCTAGATCATAGATGTGAAAATTTGTATATCCTGGAGAAATCAAGGAGAAATTTTTAATTCCTGGAAAAAATGTGAAGTTTCTTGGAGACCCGAAGATGAAACAAAATTCCTGGAGACTTGAGAGCTCTGAGAGCATACATTGTACACACAGTGGCTAATCCAGCTGGGGGGGGGGGTCCACCATGAGGGTTTGTGAATGTTAGCAGGTGCATGGGTGGTTTCATCCTGGGGGTGCCAAAATTGGGAATGCAGAACTGAGGGGTGTGAAAATAGAGCATGTGAAACTAAATCCGTATTCCAATGAAAAAAAGTGGACATTTTTAGTATGGATTGAATTTATTTGGATAAATAAACCAAGGATAGCCCACGAAACTCTAAAAGATGACATAATTCCAGTGGGGTCCTTCTGATTGGGCAGATCTCAATTGTTCAGCACACACACAGTGGCTACCACCAAATTAGCCGACTGAGGTAAGCTGCTCTCACAACTCACTTAGTGGAACTAATTTGCTTCAATGGGAGGGGGGAAGGAGTGTGTATCAGTGGTGGTGCCAGAGGGGAGCTGGGGGCTATAGCCCACCGTCGGGGAAGCATAGCCCCCCCCCACATTGGGGAAGACAAGTAAATTTTGTTGGGAATAACAGATAAAAAAAATATTTACATGTAATGTTCGTTTAGCCACCGCATTGTTTTTATTAAACTATTTGTGTCATTATTAATTATTATTATTATTAATAATAACAATAATAATAATAATAAAAATAATAATAATAATAATAATATTAACAATAATAATAATAATAATAGTTCAATGAGACTAATTAAATAACTAATTATGACAAATGCTAATTTGAATAGCCTCATGATGCTTGAAATACATCGTGATTGGTGAAGCAACCTCGACCATGACAGCGTGGTTGACAGATTTCATGCAAAATTTACAAAATATAGAATTTCACTTTCAAGAATGAGGATTTGAAAATAAATTAGATGGTTACATTGCATACGCTTTGTTTCTTGTTTTATTCAGAATGTTTTGGTTTTGGAAGCTGATTTCGACATTAGAAAACATAGCCCACATGAAGTCATATTATAGTAACTCGATGCCTATCAAAATAAGTAATAAAAATTTGCCAAAATTCGTCAAATATCTGTGGCTTCCAGGGGGCTTCGCCCCCAGAACCCCCACCCAAGTGAGACTCAATTTGCTCCACTAGCTCCCCCTCCCTCCACCGGGGCATTTATCCCCTCCGTCAGGCAGGTCCTGGCACCATCACTGGTGTGTATTCCCTCCCCCAGCCTACACCCATGGTTACCTCTATGCTGCTCGGTTGCAACTTACTTGTAGTTTTTCTTGAAAGCGTTTAGTCTTCTCCTCTGCTTTAACTCTTTCTTCTTCACTGATATTCGTCTTAACTTCCTCTGTTCTCATTGTAAGTTTCTCCATCAGTGAAAGCTGAAAGCCGTTCTATCAATTACTTCACAAAGGCTGTTGGCTGGGAAGGTCCCAATACTATACGTTGTAGTATTCCAATAACTATGAGGATATAATAAACCAAAATATTACTGAATTGTATGGGGGGAGGGGGGTGCTATGGAAGGCAATCACCGCCAAAAATACAATTTTAGACAATAAACGTGCTTTCTCAAACAAACAACGTAAATTTACAAATAAACAATGTATTTTTAAAAATAAACAACATACTTTTACTAACAAAGAACGTTCTTTTTAAAACAAACAACGTATATTGCCAAACGATGTATTTTCTCAAACGAAGAACGTACATTGTGAAACGAAGAATGTTCCATGGCATACCCAGTTGAAATATTGGACGATTCCGTGGTTCATTTGGCATTTTACATCGTTTGGGAAAGTACGTTGTTAGTTTGGCAATGTACATTGTTTGGCATGGAACGTTCTTCGTTTCACAATGTACGTTCTTCGTTTGAGAAAATACATCGTTTGGCAATATACATTGTTTGTTTTAAAAAAAATGTTCTTTGTAAAAGTATGTTGTTTATTTTTAAAAATACATTGTTTATTTGTAAATGTACGTTGTTTGTTTGAGAAAGCACGTTTATTGTCTAAAATTGTATTTTTGGCGGTGATTGCCTTCCATAGGGGCCTTAATATTTGTATAACTCAAAATTGTGTAGCTTGTCACTGACAATGGCAAATTTCAATCTGGGACAATTTGTAACTGAACATTTCGCAACCTGTAGACATCCTGGGTTTTGAAATTACAACTAAAATAATGTTTGCTTTACAAAACATTTTGCGGATATAAAGGGGGCCCATAAGGGCCACACGCACCTCATTCCCAATATTTTTGTAAAAAAAAAAATGTTAATGTAAAGGGTATCAGAAAATGACCATGCTGAATATTAAAAATCTATTAATAAATACAACATCAAATTAACGACAGTGCTAGTTGATGCCGAGGGATTCTCCCCCTTACATGATCCTCATGAACATATGGGTCTCAGCCCTTTCTTAACAGTCTAGCTGGATGGATCCGCCCCCGAGATTGGATGGGAATAAAAAAATCAATTATTTCACAAATCAAAGCAAAATTTATTCAATCCTACAAACCAATGTTACATTTAAATAGAACATTTTAATCGTTTTAAATCAAAAGTTTCACTAGACAATAACAGGCAAGTCGATAATGTACGAGACCACGTATCAACTCAAATAAAGGAATTGCATTGTTACCAATACCGAATTGATATAACATTATACCAGTCCATCTTTCTCATACCGAAGCTTGTTTGAATTATGAAACATATTGATGATTAATACAGTTATGAAAAAGGCCCCTACAACAATGCAATATTGCATTACCACGTACGTACCGTAGTAGTGTTGTTAACTATACCACCAGGCTTAATATTAATAATAAAAATAGGAATGTCCTTGACAGACGACTATAAACAACACATTGCTTTTCTTACCCGTACGGACGGTCTTGATATTCAATTATTTGATATTAAAATGTGTTGACCAGGAATCGCCATCCATCATCATTGCTAAGTACTTCTTTATCCGACAGTCGAAGAATGTGAGCGCCTACCCCTCGCTGTGGCGACAATAACAACTCCACCACCAGCTAGCACTGACATTGGCCATATTCGACTGGTCGTTCTTCGTTAAATCACGCTCACCTGCGTAGCGGTAAAACCCCTATTCAACGAAGACGAAAGTCGAATAGAAAACTTGTAATACTCGACAAAACAAAATGGCTCTATAGTTACCGCGATACACGTTGCGTAATCAAGATTGCTTCAACTTGTGGTAGTATCGGTTTTTCGTAAAAAAGATATTTTCATCCAGTTTTTGAATTCTGTTAGCCTACAAATATTTTTTGACTCCATGTGGGTAAATATTATAATTTTTATTTTATGAAATTTAATCTAAGTTATTAACGCAATTGTTGTTTATATACTCACCAATCGGCCATGTTTGGATAACTCAACGCTGATTAACACACTCTGGTTTAAGTTAATTTTAGTTGTCAACGAAGTCTATTTAACGTACCAGTCCGAATGAAAATATACTCAACGAAAATTCGTACTCAACGAAATGAACCAGTCGAATAAGCCCATTGTGCGTTCGTTGCAAGGCAGGTCAGCGGCGAGTTCACATAAAAATAAAATGCATAACAATAACAGAGTTAAATGCTGAAATGTTGTAGACATAGGCTATGTAAACGGCACTTTCGCCTTTTATTTGCGTAGACAATTCACTAAACCGAAATTATTCTAGAGGGTTGTGGATAGAGAACTCGGGCCTACATTTTTATGTAGTTTTAATACTTAACTTAAGTAGTAGTAGTAAGGCACAATAAAAAAAAAAATTATTAGTTTATCACCCTCGCGCGCACGCCTTCTATGGTACTGGAAAAAAAAATAGAAAAACATTTTAGTTAAAAAAAATAATAATAATAATTTTTTTTTTAAATGTTATTTATTTTTTTCATTAATTTTATTAAATAGTTAGTAGATATTGTTTGAATTATCTAAATCATGTTTTACTTTGAATATCAATGCACCAGCAAACAAACCAAGGGAATTATATTTGGCTTTAGCAAAATAAAAAAAATAAAAAAAGCCTCCCTCCCTCCCTCATCACTTTTCCTACCCAGATAGGGTGATAAACTAATAATATTTTTTATAGGGCCTAATATAGAGCCATCTATAGCTACACAGTGACTCCGAACGTAAAGAAAAAAATTAGGCCTATCTGAATTGGTGGTTTATCATTAATTGTCAATGTGATGGATAACAATATTGTTGACCAATTTATAAAGGTAGGCCTATCAGAGAAAAAAAAACCTGGCGCTGATTCCGTCCCCAATATGGATGTCCCCTAAATGAGGGATTACCCCTATGCCATGCAGTGTTCAGATTTTAAGTTCCACGTTTCACGAGAGTCGAGTCCCTTAATAAATAGCGAAGTCCCCTAAAAAGGGCGTAACCCAAAGGTAGGCCTATAGTGTATTGCGATCCTGCTTTTTACTTTACAGCAATCGAACTAAAAATGTACCGATGTTAAGAATTTCTCCCGTTTGTCTGACCAGGAGTGGCGCCGAGGAGATTGACAGTCAGACAGAATATAAAAAATATATATACTACCTTAAAGAGTGGACTTCCTTGGTTTAAAGAAATATATATGTATTGAGATACGCAAAGTTTAGAAGGTTAAAAGTTTAAAGGAGAGGACTTATATTGTGGTCATATTGGACTATGTAATATCATTAAAAACACATAACACATATCAAAATTATTAAGTTAAACTTTCTACTTCGGTGCATAAATATAACGTAATTTTGGGATATATGAGATTTACATAACATTTAAGAATGTACCGTACTGAATATAAAATAGGCCTATCTTACATTTTAATCAGCAATCTATCAGAAATACGGCGATTGGTTATACTGTAAAGCCTTCTGAACCTCCGCAGTACTAAAACTGGGATCCAACAGGCAATGAATATTCCATTTGATTTAGTGTAGATTTTGTATGATTCATATGTTATTTTTTCCACAGAAAGGTAAATGAATGCCTGAACTGATATTTTATGGGTTTTTATATTACCTTCTATACAAAAATGATTTCATAAATCATCTATTGTCCGACTGTGTGCATTGAACATTTGACGACGATGATAATGTCTCCAAATTCCCAACCGTAACTTAGGCACGGGCCTCGCTTGACACTTCACATCAAAGGGCCTGTTAATTAATCTTGCACAGCTTCCTCCTCATCATCCATCATCACCATAGGCCTAATTATTAATTGTCCATAGCAAAGTAGGAAAAAACTATGAATTTAGAGTGTATTCAATAATAGACGTCTCATGATGCACGAAGTGTATTTCAAATCATCTAGAAAACAAAAACGTTTCGAAGGAGAAGAAGCCGAAGACTCCCCCCATCCAATATCTAAAATTTGTCTTCCAGCGACAAAACAAGCTAGCTCTCTTCTCATAACCCCAATAGCAATGGTAAACTCTGGATCCGGGCTTGGAATTTAAGAGAAGTGCTTAAAAAAGGTTTTATTTACAGTATATTTATTTATAGAAAATAATGTTAAGCTACTATAACTATCAGGAATAAATATACAGATAAAAGGCATGTTTTTTGTCTTGGCTTGGTAATTTAGTAAAGAATATGTCCTAGGCAAGTGTATATGGAACATTTAGTTGATTTTCTGCAAAAGCTCACTATTTGTAGTAATTGACCTACTTGATTTGGATAAAAGGTAAGCCCACTAGACACTCAATTTCAACTGAAGAAAAAAAGCATACTAGTTTCTTAATCATGAATTTTACACTAAAGAGAAGAAGATAATGTAAATTATCATTAACGGTTCCTGAGTTACGTCAGAAAGAGAATAGGATGAGTCTAAACATACAGGTGGAATTTAGCCCTTTTTTCCTATTCAAAACCTAAATTACCTTGTGGTCTGTTAAAAAATGGTCAGATTGAAAACTGACCAACCGTACCGGTGGCTACGGCCCTGACAAAATAACATAGGCCTATCCAAAACAATTCATTCCTTAGTTAACCATGTATACAAATAGAAAAATTCAAGATAATACCAGAGGATTCGGGACCCTTGCAATGAATCCGGGAAACAGTTGCAGGGAAGACATATCTACCTCAGTGGCAAGTACATCAAGGGAAGATGGTTTTAGCTTAAACCCAAATGGGAGGCTTATCACGGAAGATGTTGCTCTGAAAACCCGAGACAGATGTCTGAAGATTGCCACATGGAACCAGGTCCCCCCGTCGGGGAGAGCTTCCTCCGCCCCCGGTCGAGGAGAAAAAGCACAATTCCTCGGGGAGAAAAAAAAATTATATGTATTTTCTACATATTAGTAGACTCTAAAATCGATTAAATAAGCCTTTGAAATCCCTAAATTGTCAAAATTTTCGGGGGCTTCGTCCCACTGGACCACTTTCAAAACCTTTAATCGAAGTTCGACCACGCCCACTTTGCTTTCGTCGAGGAAATCTGACCCCTCGTCGTGGGCATCGCCCCCCCCCCAGTCGGGGACCTCGGACCCTGTCGGGCACATCCTGGCGCCACCCCTTTGTTTCAACAAGGCAAATTGGAGAATGCGATAGGCCTACAACAAATGAAGTTTATGAACTTAAATATTATGGGTGTACCAGAAACGAGATGGAAGGAAAGTGTCGCACACAATTATTTACTCTGGTGGTGTAACCCGTAGGTTGCAATGGGGTTGCACTTATATGTCAATGATTCCGTTTGAATTCTAACATTACGTAGCAATGCATTAGAAATCTCCTTATAATAAATAACTTGATCAGCTGTAAGTTTTTTCAAATCAACAGTTTTCTTTGATTTCGAACAACTGACGTCACCATTTGCCTCGTATTGAGACACACCACAGAACGTAATAATCAAACAACATAGGGAAATGATAAGATCCTATATAATTGCTACTGAATCTAATATTGGAGACTTTTGTATGCGCTCCGTGTGTACATCATGATCCAACCACCTACAGTAGTTGTTCCCCAACATGCCTCACTGTGGTAAGTGAACGTCTGAGTATAATAACTTTGTCACTCCCATATTCTTCAATTATAGATTAAATCTTTCCAAGATATTGTATAAATTCAGAATGATTATCTTCCTACTCATGAGGCAAATATACATTCAATAGGCATGTTTTATTACCTTCGTGGTTAATTTCAATCCCTACAATTCTTGTGTCATCATACTTCATCGGTGTTACGAGCATTTAAACCTTTATTTCTATATAAGATTGCCTCTCCACCGTATTGCCTGCCAGTAATAACTGCACATACTGGACCTACCGGATACAGTCACGGACCAAAAATCACTATGTATAGATTTCATAATTGCTAATTCTTCATTAAAAAGCTAATGCTCTTGCAGACATTACATCTTTGGATAGACTTAATTCATAAATTTCTTTTGTACGTGCTTTGTAGTGTTTACGATTATTATGATACACATCTGATTAGGTTTTTGTTTGATTCTTCCATTATTAATTTCTTGTTGATATATCATATTCATTTATATCATAATTATTATAATTTTCGTAGTTAGGTCTACCATCAACCTTGCAGGCCCGTAGGCAGGATTTTCGATGAGGAGGTGGTTTTGTAACCGAAGTGGACCTTACTATGGGCGACTGCCTAGGGATCCCCGCGAGGGTGGGGCGAATCTTCTGGAAGCATTTGGAGGGCCTTTTTATAGATTTCTAAAATCCATAATTTGTAATATCCTATTTAAATTTTCATTCCTTTGAGTATTGTCTAGGGACCTACAGTAAAGCAGGAAAAATAGAGGGTCCGGTGAAGGGAGAAACTTGCTCAGACAAACTATTTGATTTTTTTTTTCTCTATTTCTTTTATAATTTTAGGGGGCTCTTCCCCCTTGAATCCTCCACTGTGAAATTATAATTTTTCATGTCCTTTACATCTGTAGGCCTACAATCACTGGAGCTGATAATTTCCAACAGATTTCGTAGCATATTATTAAAAATCAACGGGTAGAAGAGGGGGAAAATATAATGCATACTGTAGTTTTCGTGATAATTAGGAACGATTTTAGTGAAATAATAGGTTTTAAAAAGTGGACTTTTTGGTGGTCCAGGGGCAGAAGCCTGGAGGGGTTTGTGGGAAAAGCGACAAAGTAGCATTTTGAGGGTCTTACATAATAGATTTTTCAAACACATAATTCATTAATATTTCATTTAAATTTTCATTAATTTGGGTGTATTTCGAACCTGGAAAAGTAACGTTATTATGTCCTGTACATCTGCAGGCCTATAGATAACATTCTTCATACTATATAGATCAATCTGCAATCACCGGAGACGATCAATTTCTAACAAATTTCATACCACATTATTAACAATCAACGGTTAGATAAGCTAGCAAATATATAATGCAATGCATGCTATAGCATTTTGTGATAATTAGGAACGATTTTGTGAAATCATAGGTTTTAAAAAGTGGACCTTTTGGAATTTGGCCGGGGGGGGGGGTGCGTCCGACCCCCTGCCTACGGGCCTGCCTTGTTTATCATCGATTTTATGACCATAAATTAGAATTTTCTAATTATAGGACCCATGGGCCAAAAGCTGGGATCAATTATTTTATGATTAAGTGACATTTCACACATTATTTTAAAGGATGACATATCTCCCTTTGCTGGAAGCTTAAAAACTTAGGTCTTTTTTCCAATATATAGCGCATAATAAGAAAACTCTCAATGCGCAGAGTTTGAAAGGCGGTAGTAGCCTACCTGTAGATCTGTATTAGAGCCAGTTCCTCTTTATTCTTTTTATTTTTTTTGCTGATTTCCATACTTCCTTTTCCTGATTGATATTCTTATTAATTCAAGTGGATGTAGTAGCAGGCATAGGCATATTTCTTGATTTGTTATTCTTTTAAACAGTTGTTGCTTAAGACACGTTCTCAAAAGACGCCATAGGGACCACATCCCTAGTTGGTAGCGCTTTGCTACAATGTTCTGTCGATACGGACTTTGACATGCAAACGTAACATGTTGCGCTATTTTTCTCCTCTGGACCACTGCAAGTTATAACATCGGCTTTTACCATTTCTACTTCAATCAATCTGACCAATAGGCACAATTGGAATTTCAGCTAAGTTCACCGCGGCAAACTTTTCAAGGAGAGATTTGGGAACATATCAGGTTTTCTTCAACCATTGTGATGAACTTCAACAATTTTTTGTTGTAGTTTTGATACAAAAACTGCCATAATTCTTTTTCTTTCACATCAATTATGTTTTACAGATTGTGTTAAGTTATGTAAAAAAAAAACAACAATATGTACATCACATCGCAAGTAAATATACAGTCGCTTTTATTGTCCATTTTCAATCAAAACCTAACAGATTACAGTTTGATAGAATCCCTCAGCCATTAAATTACACAAAAATGCTCAATATAGCTACAATCAGTGAATAACAACAAACGAATCTCCAGTTTGGTTGTATTAATCAAATCAACTATGTTATTCAGTATTGCAAAATCAATGATTATTCTTGAAATCTGTAAATCTAGAGTGATCAAACAAAAACGGTTAATATGCATGGTATTGTATACAATAACATGTGAAATTAGAAAACACATTTGAAACATATTCAAGTGTTGATTTTACCTAAAAATCTACATCTCTGAAAGTTGGTACACAATCCATGTTAGCCTAAGTACAGTATGTATAATGTAGGTGTGTAAAATTATCTATCTAATATTTTATGTAGTTACATGATGTGAAGTTGTGTATGTAATTCATTGATGTATGTAACTATGTATGCAAATATGTATACAGCATACTTTTTGATGTTGGACTTCTTGATTTTGTTATGATATAATGGCTAAAACCTATAAAATTATAGAAAATGAGTTGGCTGTTTTTAAACCATGTGTATATTACAGAAAAATACACAGACAGGACACATCCTAGATTAAACCATCCACACAAGAACAGAACCGTAACTATAAACGTTGGTCCTTACACATATACACGCATTTTAAACCAACTAGGCCTTAAGGCACCATGGTACTGTCTATAGTCATTTATGACAAATTAGTCAAAATAATAGTAAAAAATTAGATTGGTAAACAAAACAAATCCCTCTAAATAAAAAAAAAACTAACAAAAATAATAAATTTAATCAGTCAATATACTGACTAACTATACATTAACTAAGAAAAAAGCAAATATTCAAATTTATTTCGAAAGCAAAACTACATCATTACAAAATGTATATACTTATTTTATATATTTTTTCACAATTAAAGCCTTAATTCTTGGCTGAACAAATTAAAACTACTCTTTAGATTTATTCAAGTATTTAAATTCCTACCGACAGTCTAGCAGTATTTTACTGCATTCAAATTTCAAAACATCAACATTCACCACATTTCCCTGCAATGCATAAATTACACGCTTGACTGCACAACAATTTACAAGGATAAAGGAATGTCAATTATTATATATATATTGGTTTATCATGTCCAATTGGTTACACAAGAGGGAAAAAATACAATATCTTCCATCAAAAATACAATGCAGATACTCTTTAAAAATACTTCACAAGGACAATAATTAATGGTTATGTTTGCAGAAAGTTTGATTTGGTGTGATTTAAAGGTGATAAGTAGTTGTGCATATATACCTATAGAGGGCAGTTTTGCTCCACCTAGAAATATGTAAATATTTTTTCTTAAACTATTCTTCAATATTTGAAAGATGATCAGTTAGCTGTTGGAAGGCAACATCATTTTTTAATCATGAGACAAAAAATTGATCAAATTTTACCTCACACCTGCTACAATTTGACAACTTCAGATAATTTTTTTTAACCATTTGTATAAATGAATTTTTTATGAAAGAATGATTATCCAAATGTTGGGATTGTAAATTGGAAAAAAATAAAAAAAAATAAAAAAAATGACCCAGATATTTAAATGCATATTATGAAAGTTTCTTTAAAATCCCAATGCCTTTAAAGCACATTTGTATATTACTGTATTACAAATACTGCCTTAACATACAGCAATTACTAATTTTCTTCTTATCATTGTTTGTACAAAATTACAATTTTAAGCATTTCAATGAGACAGAATAGGAGAAACAAAAATCAGCCTATCTTTTAGAGCAATAACTAAATGAAAATTATAAAACTTGAAACTCAGAACCAGCCATTATGATTATATATATTACAAAGAATGGTATGTTTACAAATTATTTGAGCTTTTTCGGACATGATCTTGCGTAGATGCTTGTATATTTTACTTTTTTTTCAACATCCCAGAATGCTCTGTTTCATTGAAATTTTAAACTATCCAAACAGCTTCCATCCCTATTTTACTGTACCATATCTTCCATCTGAACTTCAAGTTAACAGAGTCAATAAACCACCGAGGAACCCTATTAAAAGTTAAATAAAAGAGAGAACTTGAGTTAAACACATACTTTCATTATAATTGATTATATTACAATATTATATATAACAATTAAATGAGAATAGGTGACATTGAAATAGCAAAATATATGTGGTCCCGACCGATTTCAACATTTAAGAAATTTACTAGAATTCCAGACATACACCCTCTATCATGTAAAATAGGAAAATGAAAAAAAAAAGTATATCTCTGTCTTTGGCGGTCAACAGGTGGGATTTAAAAAATTGACATCTCCGTCTTAAGAAAGCTCATTAACCAAATTCATGGATTCATAGAGCCAGCTTGGGAAGACAGAATATTTAAAATTAATTTAAAAAAAGCAATATTATAAGTGTGAGAGTGCCATTTCTGGCCATCTAAATGTGCCATAATTATAAGTTGTCATACCTCAGCCTTAACCATGATGGGGTTAAGGTGGTCTACACCCCCATTTGCAAAAGTCCCTCCCTAGGCCCTCTATTTCAAATTCCTGGATCTGCCACTGCAGATCTCCAGGAAATGACTTCCTCCAACTTGAGACCCTGCCAGCATACTGTAAAGGCCCTAACTTTTTCAAAATTTAGATAAAGTACTTTTCGGTCTTCTATTTTCGTGATGTAACATATTCCTAAAAATAAACTGTGCGTTAACTTGTAACTTTCAAAATTACGAATATTAACAGAAATTGTACCGTTAATCAGACCGAGTACTGTACCGTACTCGCGCAAATAAGCAACTGGGCGCTTAAAATATTTTTTTGCACTTTCTGAAGGGTGTTTATTTAAACGGGGAGAACATGGCTAATGACAAGAATGCTGTTAATATTTACATAACAGCAGAATAGCAGATTCAATGAGTGGTGGTGGGTAGTGGTTAGCTTGTTGGCCATCAGCCGATTGAGATTAGCAGGATGGCAGGATCATTGCAGGTTTTCTTGAAAACTCAGATGAGAATGTGCTAAAGGTGCAAATAGTCGGAAACAGAAAAAGAGGAGTTGGACTAGGCCTAGACAAATATGCAAGAAGAGGAAAGTTGGAAATATACTGTCTGTCCTGGGATCAGTGCTCTCATCTGTCCAAGAGAAATATCCTCATTTTGATACTGACTTAAGAAGAATGTGATTCCACTCTGCAACTCAGATCATGCCAACAACCACAGTCCTAGGATTGATTGGATTATTGACTTGCTAAAAAGAAAATCTTATGATATTATTGAGGGGGTGCTTAAGGAAATTTTCACGTTAGGAGGGGCTCTTATTCGAGAAGGGCGCTTATTCGCATGAGTACGGTAGTTAAGCACAGGCTAGTTGTACTATGACCGCTAGGCCTAAATATAATTGTTCTCTAGTTTTATCAATATCATAATATCCTTCATTACACTTACATAATCTTTTAAAATGAGAAATGTAATTATTTCCTTTATAAACACTTACATTATTCATTGTATTAAATACACAAATTCTGGGTTGCAATTTGTATTTCTGTTTGTCACACATGTGGAGTACACACTTTGCTAGACATAAACTAAATTTGATCCCAATGCAGTTACAGTACATGCAATCTTCCCATTTCCAATGACAGACCATTAATTAACAATCAAAAGAAGGTTTTTGTTTAAGTGGTATAGAGGTAAGGAATTTTAAATAACAACCAGTAAACATTTTGAAAACTACAGTATGGCTAGTCAATGCAGGAAAAGGCCTAGCTGAATGCCTATTATTGAATGTTGGGATCTCAAAAAGTGACCTGAGAAATTTATATTCCCAATCCAACTAGCGATAACCTTCAGGGAACTTCTTTTCAAAATTCAGGAGATAATACACTTCTTTGACTTCCTAAGTTATATTAAGAAAATCATATTTTACTAGTTTCACAATACTTCAAACCAAAAACGCACTAAAGTCTTTCCAAATTCCACACAACCTTTACTTATCGATTGTCTAGTTACCATGAAAACAAGAAATATTATGGGCACACGATTAAAAGGGCTTTACAGTACTTCATTATCAATAATTATAACATGCCATATATTCTAACAAATTTCTGAAAAGTGATCATATACATCTAGTGTAGTAGGGTGCAGTGGAAGATCTAGAATTTTCCAATTGAGCTATGTGGAGAGGTGGGGAACCACAGCAGTGGTATAAAAAAGTGTGGGAGGCCTATTGCAACTTTTTGCAATTACCCCTGGGGTGGCCTTTCTTGACAAACATGGTTGACAATGAGGCACGATACAGTATACTATTTGGCTGGAAATGACACTCTCAGGTTTTCATCCTGAAAACTTGTTCAAAGTAACAACCTATGTTAAAAACAACAAAATTCTGACTACTACTTTGCATTCTTTAGACCTTACCTTTTGGAAGGAAAGATTTTTTTTGTAATTTTTGCAGTCTACATGTTCTCAAATTCATCGATTCTGTCCTTAGTGTTTCCCGCTCTAATCTGTTTAAGTGTCTTGTATTTATCACGCCCTGCACGAACATTTTGTTGATGAAGTTTATCTGTGTTAGTCACCTTGTCTTCGTCTTTGGCGTTTTCCAATTCTGAGCCCAATTGCTGATGGCAAAAAAAATTAAGATTGACCATAAGAAAACTGAGACATCAACTGCTGCAGTGGTTTAAGCTGAGTAAGGGTATCTTTTTGTTATTAGATGCATAATTGTATAACACAATTGTAAAGTTGCAGCTCCTGTTCACTTCATTAATTTGGTATTGTAATTTTTATAATTTAATATATTTAGTTGACAATCAATGAACAAAGTGTTAAACATTGTGCAAAGAAAGCAAATTGCTATGGTGCATTATGTTTTAATCCGTATGCTGGAAAAAAAAAAAAAAAAAAAAATTATGAGAAAAACTTCATAAATATAAGAAAAATTTAAAAACTAAAATATCATTTACCGAATCAAGAAGTTGAGAAAAAAAAAAAACAAAAACAAACAGTGCTCTCTTCACTCTCAAATTTACAACCCCACTCATCATTGTATTCAAATTATAAACATCCTCAAACTTCCATGCTGTACAGGCTTGTTTTTTTTTTTATAACCAAAAAAAAACAAACTATGGGTCACGACCCAAATACGGGTTGCCAAAAACATTTCTGAGGGTTGCAAGACTATTTCTGAATTTTAAAAAAAAAGAGACTTTGACAACACTTTGATAAAGTGCATTTCGAAAAATAGTGGAAAATACTTCATTGTCCTACAAAGAACTCCATAGATACTGCCACACGTAGCTACGAAGGTGAAAGCTCTAAATTAATTGTCAATCAAGGAATCTACTCTGATGTTTGCACTGTTGCCAATGTCACCAGGGACTGAAAAGATCATTAAAATTTGTTAATGCATCAAGGAACATATAGCTCACATTAATAACACGATGTACCAGTAAATAAATAATGAGTTGCTTCTTTGTTTTTTTAGTTTGTTTCAGCCTTTTTGCGACCAGGTAGGGACGTACAAGCTTCATTTTTCAATTATGGTTTACCCAGACTACCCCGTCTGTCGACCGTGCGACGCGTTTTTAACTAATTGCGAAGCACTTCCACAAATGCACCACAATTATTTGCCTAGAATTACCGGCTCAGTCTTCAGCAAGGCCTGGCTGTAAAAACTAAGAGGCTTGGTGCAGAAAAAGTCCCGAAAATTGTTTTAAAAAGTCAAAATCAAGTTGTTATTGGGCCAATTCTACAATTCAGCGATCTAAAACCTAGAAATAACACGATAGAAAAGTCCATAAAACATATCTATTATTTAGTAAGAATTAAAACAATATCTTGTTAAAAGGAAGAATGCCTGCGATTACAATAGTTTGGTTTTTATCAAAGGTAAATTTAGGTAGACTCTAGCGTGATAGACCACGCTGCTTCACTGTCATCAGTGTCGGTTCGTACTAGGCCTGACCACACCCGTCACCAGGACAGCTGGGCTTTGGTAGTGGAAAGTGAAACCTGATCTAGTTTACAAATTTTTCAATTGACGAATACCTCTTTGTACCAAGGGGTACGTACGTAAAATGGGCGTCTTTTATTAGATTAGACAGCGAGGATGAGCCAGTATTTTACTTAAAATTAAATTATTTTTATTGTAGTGTAGAAAAATACTTATACTTAGCCAAGGTCGACGGCTTGTGGGCCTAAGTAATAAACACATAATATGACAATATCATTTTGGTATGACAATATATGCCTTGGGTAGCCACAAAATGTGCATTCTAAAAGTGGGTCGCCACCTATAAAAGGTTGAGAAGCAGGGTTGTAAAGCATCTTGTGAGTATGTTTGTTTGTCTAGTGAGTGAGGTTGCTACTTACACAGTAATTAAGTTTGCTAATGGTAATCCTTGACTCATTTGGCGAAATTAAGATTAAAAAAAAAACCCCCAAGACAACATTCAAACCCAAACACCTATAGTCAAAACAACCACAGACAACAGGGAAAATATTGCATCAATCACTTTTAACTGTTAAATCACTTACTTTCAACTGTTCTTTGAACCGCTTATTCTTTTCTGCCTCTGTAATACGATCCTCCTCAGATCGATCGTTAGTTAATTTGGTATCAGTGGACAGATCGCTGGTGTCATTCTCAGATTCTTGTACATGAGATTGCGGAGGAGTGGCAATCACCTGTAGATACTCCTGCTGCTGCTTTTCAGCACGTTCTTGTGCTTCTTGAAGCTATAAAACATAGAGGTTTAAAAAACATTAAATCACAAAGACATGAAACACAAAAATGACATGAATAAATGAATGAATTGACAGTATCTAGTGACCCCACTTTAATAACAATAACAATCACTTACAGAGGTTGTTTCTATTCATTGGCATCATTGTGGAAATGGCTATAATAATAATAGTCAGATATTATCGGAAAGAGATTATCTTCTATTTGTAAACAGTATATAATACGATGTGTCTAGACGTATGGTACTGTACACTATAGGGTTTGGAATTAGCTAGGGGCACTTATCATTACCGAGATAGTATATGGTTACATATTCCTAGCGTAACCGCCCTTTTTTACACCTTTTCCCCCAGATTTAAGATAATCAAAAATTTGTATCTCATTCACTGTTTTCACCAAGTTTTTCATCAAACAAATTTCTTCTGTCAAACAATTATTTTTCTCCTGTGTCTGATTTTAAAAGGTTATTTTAAGATTATGTTATTTATTGGCCCTCTTCTGCTAAACTTATGTATCAATAATCTTTTCGTGTGGCAACACTGAAGTATTTTTGGTACGTTACTTTCAGGAAAGAAACATGAGAAATATATTTCTGTGAACGGCGGTAAATTACTCTCAGGAAACAAAATGAGAGATCTGTGAACGGCTCTGGCAAAACCCACTGTTTGTAGGAAAAATCCGAAATTAAGTTTTTGGTATTTTAAATTTCTGCATGCATTCTTTACACCAATGTTTATTTGATGGAAATATGGAGATGGAGTATTGGCAAGTATTAGCTATTACGGTTTTGAGAAAGCAGCTTCAAAATTTCGAAAATCAGTTAGTTTAATTAGTAATTTTAAAATGATTTTAACATACTTTCATTTAGATTTAATAATTAATATTTTGAAAAAACTGCAAAAAACTGAAATTGTTCGAAATTCTGATTTTTGGGTGCTAAATGGAAGGTTTTGCCACAGCTGGTGACATATACATTAAGTCTGTCATACTTGTTGTTGAAGAGCAATAGCTTCAGCGGCCAGTCTTTCTTTCTCTTCTTGTGCTGCCATCTGCTGCTCTTTCATTTCTCTAGCTAGGGCAGCTAACTCATCCTTGCTTTTAACCTCTTGTAACATCTGTTCTTCAATACGTTTCTTCTCTTCTTCTGCTTTCTGGCTTTGTTCCTCAAGCAAGGCTTTCTGTTCTTGCATCCTCTTCTGCTGCTCTGCCAAGTCCTGGGCCTCCTTCTCTGAGGTCAGCAAAGCTGTTGGCAGAAATATAACATGGAATTAGATGGTTTTAAATAGATAAATAGAAATATTGATGGGGAAAAATCAAATCAAAAGACTTGATGCTTTACTTTTTTTTTTTTATCTTTCCACCCCTTTATTCCTTTTCTGGAAAGCACAAAAGGCGAACTAGTTTTTACACAAGCAGTTCTACACATTTATAATAGCGGATGATGGGATGGGTAGAGAACCCAAGTATTTTTCCCCTAGAAGCCAAGATATGTTTTGTGATTTGAATTGTTCACTGCTGTGGAACTTTACACTTCTAAATTCTAAATGCATGTACACCAAATCTCATCAATCACATTATAACACAATTTTAATATCTTAATAATTCTTCTTTTTTCCCCCATCCCCCTCCTCCCAAGTCCAAGACAACATGTGCCCCTGTCAGTATGTCATCCTTATTAATATTGATTCTAACATACCTTCTTGTGCTTTCTTAGCCTCCATTTCATACTTCTGTAGCTGGGCTTCCAGTTCTTTCTTTCCTCTCTCAGCATCTTCACGTGCCTGCTTTTCACGGTGCAACTGGGTTCTTAAAAAGCAGACATAAATATGGAATACCAATTATCTCAAATTTAAGTTGTTTTCCTTTTAACATATTAACTCAATCTTCATGCTATTTTAAAAAAACCTTATTTAATTTATATAAATCATTTAAAATCTTCATCAAAATCATAAATCTTCATGCCACATTGGATTCTCATATTTGATGTAAATAGATTAACTTTACAAGCATTACTAGATTACTCAACTATATTTTGAGTTGAGTTTACAGTAGATGAAATGATATGTAGCAAAGACAAGCCAAACCAGTCACTTGTCGCAAAAACGATTTTTAAGCAGTAAAATAAGAGCTACAAAATGATAAAAAAATCATTCAAATCCGACACTTCCTTATGAAGTTACAAGCGTTTAAACATACAGGAGCTCTGTTTTTTGAATAGTGACTGGTTTGGCTTATCTTTGCCACATATAAATTTGAGGTAAAAACCAATAAAGTAAAGTAGGCCAGAATTTTTTAAAAGGTCATATCAAAAAAACATTTTTTGAAGTACAATCAATCTTCAAATGTAAATAAATTTAGTCAATCATAAATCTTCATGCTTTTTTAAAAGCCATATTTAATTCAACATTCATTTCGACATATATTTGAGGTAAAAAAAAACAATGCATTGGTAAAGTAGGTCATAATTTTTTAAAAGGTCATATCAAAATAACATTCTTTAAAGTACCGTACTCGCATGAATAAGCGCCCCCTCCTAATTTGCACACCTCAAACAATATCATGAAATATTTTTTAGCAAATAATTTCTAGCTAATAATCCAATCAAACCTGGGACTGTGGTTGGCATGATTTGAGCTGCGGAGTGAATTCACATTTTCTTCTTTCTTATGTCCTACTTCTATTTTTCTTTTCCCGACAATTTGCAACTTTAGAACGCTCTCACCTGAGTTTGCAAGAAACCCTACAATGATACTGCTAATTTCATTTATGCAAATGGCCAACAAACTTACCAACTCCACCATTACCACTAATTTCATCTGCTGTTGTGTAAATATTTCCTTACAGCATTCTTGTCATGAGCCATGCTCTCTGGACGATTATCTCTTCTGCACCAGAATCATTCGTTTATCTTTGGTTTCTAAATGTCCTTATATAGTCTTTTTTCATTCAAAAAGCGCCCTTCTAAGTTCTCATAAGAACCCCCTCAATTTTCATGTATTCCCATAAGCGCCCCATCAATTTCCAATCTGTTTTCATAAGCGCCCCTCAAAAAGCGCAAAAAATTATTTAAGCATTTGGGCGCTTATTTGCTTGAGTATGGTACAATCAAGATTAAAATGTAAATAAATTTATTAACTATTAGTATCGTAAATTGTTCCTTTAAACAAAAGGCACATACCTCTCTGCCAATTTAGCATGTTTTTCTTCTCGGGCTTGGGCTTTCATCTGTTGTACTTCAATTGTATCGGGTTTTCGTCGGCGCATGTACAGTTCATGGTTGCCCATACACAGGGCTAGGATGCGCTTGTTAATACGCAGTCGAGGTGCGTAGAATATGAAGTCCTATAAAAATTAAAAGTTATATTCTTTTTATACATTTCCAATGGTGATAACCAAGTTTTTTGTATTTATTTCAAGGAACTTTTGTGACTATACACCCTTATGTCAACAGCCACTAGGACATATTCTTAATAGGGTTGAGTTATCTGTGTAGTCGCTGATGACTTGACCAGTTGGAGTTTAATGTCATAACCAGTGCTACTAGCTTTAAACTATGCTTAACTATTGTTGGTAAAATACTTACTGGAGCCTTTTTGTCAATTGGTTTGATAACAAATTTCTTATCATTAAAGGAGATATTTCTGATCTCGCTCCATGGAAATCCAATCTTGGGAGTCAACTTGTCGTTCTGTTCATACACATTGAGACCAAGAGCATCGACACCCAACCACAGAACTGTGCCTCTCTTGTTTTTTATGTCAAAGTAGTTGACACCGTACATCTCTAGATCCTGAGCTATCTTCAGGTACTCCAGCATTGCATCCTCTCTATAAAAAGCACAAAGTTATTTGTATTTATAAAAATTTGAATATGTAAGAACTGTAGGAATTAAAAAAAAAAAAATGAATTGCATAATGTGCTGAAAAATTTACTGAACAACCCAAGCTTAATATTCAAGACGTATTCAAAAAGAATTAATAAAACTAATAGTATGTAAAAACTCCAAGAATGACATATTATGGATGATATACTTATCCTAGGAAAGAAATTTAAAAAAAATTAAAATATGATATAAAATCAGTTTTGGTTTCTCAAACATGAGATTCATTTTGCAACATACCGAAGCTGGCCCTTGTGTTCCTTGTACCAGTTGGTTATCCTCTCCTCCCATTGGTCCTTAGACATCTGATGTTGGTCTATTACTCTGTAATATTAACAATACACATGAATATTACTATTTTTATTACTTTGTTTCATTTTAATCTTACCTAGTAATCATTAAGATAGCTATATAATTATGTTCTGTAATTCTATTATAGACTTTAATCACCTGTTATGCACTGTAATGTTGTTAAATGATGTTGTAATGAATTAAAAACAAAACAAACAATATCATTACAATTCAGGAAGTGGTTTTTTCAGATAAAACACTTTCGATAGTTTACAATGTATTTTTTAAACAACACTTAGTCACCAGAATTTTTAAAGATACTGTTTATACTAAATACAGACAATTTTAGAGCTATAATCACAATGATGAGACTTATAAATAATTCTTGTGAGGAAACCTGATCATAATAATATAATGATTTACAGTCAGATACATTTCCTACTTTTCATTTAACTTTTTGATCTTACCTTTCTGATTCAGGGACCATGTGCAATAAGGATATTTTTTTTACAACATATAGGCGTTATAGAGGAATTTGACACATATGAGCTGATCCCTTAGAGATTCAATAAACTTACATTGTAATACTACACAAAAGCATTGTGAAGGGAGAAGGCAGTATGCCTTAGGATTTATTGTAAGTGAAATACTATAATACAGTATATATTACTAGTATGCAAATATATTATTAAAATTTTCAACGTAAATATCATAATATTACATTCTAGGTTATCAATCTGTATGAAAATGTTGAAATTTTGTAAAAAAAAAATTAAAAAAAAGACTTATTTAAATTTTATCTGCAACTTTCACTCTTTTCATGATTATTTTGTTAAATTAATTTATTATTAAGTTTATTCATTTATATTTTTATTGTACATGTTAACTGACTTCTCAAGTTTGTAAATAAGCATTTCCGTAACTAAGTCATCAGATTTCCGTAGTTAAACAAAAAAATTGCAGTAGCACCACCTAATAATAATTATATATTTTTCAAAAATTGGCCTGATTACACATTAAAAAATTCTGGAAAAAAAACAAAAACAAAAAAAACAATGCTCACCTCTGTGGTAGCAATCTGTCATTTGCAAGGAATCCTGGTGGATGATTGGATAAATTGTAGTCGCTATATTTGGCCTGAACTGCGTATGACGCCAACAGAACAGAGGTTTCTGGTGGACAGTAGATCTCGTCGTTCAGAATCGCCTCTTTGATTTGAAGGAAGAACAAACGCTGAAAAGGACACAATAAATGTTATGTCTAAAATTTATAAAATTGAACACACTCTATACAGCAACACCACACGGCATTAAATTTTTGGTAGTTTAGCCGCACGACCTTAACCTTAACGTCATAATTTATTCATCTTGCGGAGTACATTAATTTCAGGATTTTACGTGCTCGATGTACGCTAGTTACGGGTTTGCGCATGCATATTACGATTTGTTTACACAAGGGGAGGAGCTACCGAGTTGAATATTTGGTACTAAAGTTAAAGTTAAGGTAAACATCGTGCGTCGAAAACTACCTATTATTAAATTAATAGTTCCGAACTCTATTCAATTTCTAATAGGGCACCCCCTTCCTCGTGGTATTAGTACCCATCATGCTCCTCTGGGAGGGGAAAATAGACACAAAAACAAAAAGACAATCTGGTGAAAGTATTTTCAATTCAAACTCTATGGTTAGAATCTGTGCAAAAAGAATTACTGTACATGGGAAACAGTACAACAATGACTGAATTTAGAAAAGGAAAAACTAGAAAGTGCGCAGACCAGGATAGAAGATAAGCTGTTCACATTTTAGGAGTTTAAATTACAGGCCATATTATTCTCACACCACACCATACCAGATATTAAATATCAAATTCTTTGCTTTGAGTATTCATTAGAAGAGGAAGTACCTGATGAGAATAATTGCCAGCCTACAAGGAACTAAAGCTTTACAAAATAAATTTCACCTAATACACTAATTAAGTCTACCTCAATGCTTTAATCTACTTATAATAAAACATGGTACTCTACTTGCCAGAAAAAATTACAACTTAGTCACCCATGAAACATTGGTGATTAGTTATAGAAAGAATGGAAATAGTAGGTCTTTAGATAATCCTACATCAAAAAATTCCCCCAGATACTTGGAATGATGTACAGTAATGTTATTGTCAGTACAACTGTAGACCCACACTGTATTCACATTTGTGTTTTTAAGACTCATACAGTGAAATGCATCTCCAGAACCTACGTAGTCAGTGGAAACACTTAGGTAATAGTAGGATACAGTCCAAATTGTGAGGGATATTAAATACTAACTACAGTTAACACTTTGACTTCACAGCATGTTCCAAACTATAATAATAATAAGCATTCTTTTATTAAGATGGGGCTTACCATGCCAAAACCAGCATAAGTCACAAAAACAATAAAATTGACTTTTTATTACAGTATTCTCCACAATCTAAGCATACAAAATGAAAGGTCATTTATTGGAATCGACTTAATATTGCCAAAGTTATAAGTAGAAGTATTATGGATTCTCTGTACTAATACAATATTGACTGCTAATACCACTGCCAATTTGCTATTACTACTCAGTTGAAGATTTACTGACAGTACGCTGGATTTGGGATGACACGCCTCATATGATTGAGGTTCCTCTCCATTACAGTAATGTTGAGAAAAAAGTTGACACCTTTGGGATTTGAACCCAAGACTTACCAACTGTCGCTAGGTTGCTCTACTAGCTCAGCTCCTCGTGGAGCTATGCATGTGCTTGATCTAATGACATGAGTAATTATGTGAAGTGCAGAGGCTGAATGGCATCACAGAGTTTGTGGGCCCTGGCAGTGACTGTTATTGGGGGCCCTAATAAGCGAGCAAAGCTCGGGGCCCAGGGGTGAAGGCCCTGGTGAGGGTCTGAGGGGGCTTCCCCCCTCGCGCTCAGAGCTTATGGCATTTGTGAACTGTTAACTGCATTGTCAAAGAACATAGCCTTGGTCCATGATTGATGAAATGTTTCAGACAATTTTATGACAAAACCAACATAGATTACATAGGCCAACTTCTGGAACTGGTATACATGTAGGCCTACAGTAGGCCTACCTATAGTATGAAGGTGTATTACAGAGAATATTTTAGTGAGAAACGTACAAAAGAATGATAAGGAATATGACTGGCTGAATAATTTTCAAACCACTGTCGGTAAATAAAAAAAACCCCCATGCTTGTGTCACGCATCACATTGATCAAATGTGGTTCGCAAGACAAACCGCAACCCAAACAAGAAACTGCAGCGATCATTTACAGAAGCCCTGAGATAATGCAGTTTCTGTATGATTATGCCAGGCCAGTGTATTTTAAATGTTTAAAACTTGTCGGGGCCACATTGAATGAAACTATGGTATTATAGTTTATATTATGTTTTTTTAAACTACAATGTCAGGGCTCCTATATATATATATATAAATACATATATTTATCAGGGGTTTCCCTTAAGGTTCTTTTTAACTAGCCAAGTGGACCAGTAAATTAATACTTTTACTGGTCCTCAATCCCTTTCACTAGCCACTATCTTGCCAACTTCGGAAGGCCCAAATACCATATCTGTCTCTTATACACATCTAGATGTGTATAAGAGACAGGATTCAGGGACCATGTGCAATAAGGATATTTTTTTTACAACATATAGGCGTTATAGAGGAATTTGACACATATGAGCTGATCCCTTAGAGATTCAATAAACTTACATTGTAATACCTGTCTCTTATACACATCTAGATGTGTATAAGAGACAGGTGCTATCCCTTCACATTGTTAATGTACTGAGACACGGTATACTAATTAAGAGATAATGAATTGGTCAACACAATAAAACACTTTTCCATTAATTTTCTCCCAACACTACTGTAATATTTGTATAGTACCTGTTGTTTAGCTGTAGTGCACAGCAAATTGTATTACTGTACCAATAAAATGAATGCTTTTATATTGTTTTTACGTGCATTTTCGGTCTGACATTTTTTTTTCTAAACTGTAAACAACACACATTCTTCGTGGTCACGACGATGCGACTTGTTGTAAATATCAGGTCGCGCCTCCTAAACTCTTCCCGCTAATTGGTTAATTTTTTTCGTGGGGTCATGTTGCTGGGCAAAAATCCCATGTGCTTGGCTGTGGTGACGTCAGATCGCCCAAAGTTTCAAAGTGCGTGACAGCTTGCTAACAGGAACAAGCTTAGCGTAAACCGATACATTTTTACTTAAACAAATTTATTAAAATGAATAAGAAACACTCGTGGTTTTGTTTTAGAGTAAAATCTAAAAATAAATTTAACAAATTAAAATTTCATTATCTGCAAATTCCTTCCGTAATTAGCAATGTTTTTGGGGAATGTGAGTGTAATTTACATGTAGACTGATATATGAATCTAATGACATACCAAATCCGAATTAAACGTCTACTGAAAAAGAGCCGTCGTAAAAACAATTGCTTTGAGTTCCTTTTTCATTTCAGGTTGATTACAGTCGATTTTTAAGTATTCATAGCCGATAATGCACTTTATTAAAACAATGGGAGGCGTAACTTTGGCTTTATCCAACTCCCTGCTTTATCTAAAATTTTACTGGAGTGTCGTTTTAATTAATAGATAATCTCCATGGCAATGCTATTGGGACTGTACGAACGGTTCATTTACAGGGTGTGATTATTGAGTTATTTCGTCTGGAAATCGTTGCGTTGTTTATTAACTTTTTGTCCCACGTTGCATTGTGGGATGGATACATGACATGGATGTTTTAACTTCACACGGTGTTCACACAGACGGAAATCAACTTCTCCTTGTCGCTATAACATGCGGAGAAGGTGATTTCCCTCTGTACGTCTAGCCATGGATTCCTCTATGGTCTAGGCTAGTGCGTGATGTTCATCGGTTCGCCTTGAATGACTGAGACCGAGGCTGTTCGTAGCGGACATTAACATGACAATAAACAGAAAATAGCGATCTTGTTGACATCTGTGTGAAACATTTTGTAAAGACATCGTTAAGAGGTGAATGATTAAAGCTTTAGGTATTTCGTCATTCTTTCATTGACATTTTAACTGGTCACGCGGACTTGTTATTGGGATAATTAACAGGTCCGCCATGCATTTTACTAGCCATTGGCCGGCGGACCAGCGTTATTTCGAACCCTGTTTATATATATAAATCATTTGTTACCTGTGTAACCTCTTGTATTAGCTCCTCTGACACATCTTCAGGGTAAAACTTGGCTCTAAATTTAAACTGCAAAGGAGATTCTTTTCTCACATCTTGTGACATCACCTGTAATAATATTAAGAATCAAGAGTCAAATTACATTGCACCTAATATTTATCAACCAGATTTAGTTGTGACTCTCTTCATTAGCAATTAAGAATACTAAGTATTACCTACATAATATTTTGCAGTGCATACGCTGAAAGTTAATGATACTTCAGTCATTTAACATACGGATAGAATACAGTGAAAAATTTAAGAATCATGATGTTTTTCAAGTAACATTCATATCTTCAATATTTGTATTCAGAGTCAGTGTTCTATTGATAGGCCTATTGTTCATAATATGAGACCGGTTCTAGGAAACCAGCTGTTCGTAGGAAAAATATAAAAAAGACTTTTTTAGTAATTTGGTATTCTGCCTGAATTCTTTAAAACAGTGTTTATTTTTTGATGGAAATTGAATGAATATAGCAATGTCTAGGTCTACAATATTCCGAACCATAAAAACAACCAAAACTAGATAAGGGATCAATAAAAAAAAAGTGCATTAAATACAAGATATACAGTAATTACTCTTTATGGCTTTTAAAAGGCAATAAATTTATAGAAGAAATGTTGGGAAAAATGTATCCTTAATAACAGAAACATACTCATACTAATTTGGGTCAATAAAAAGTGCTTTTATAATCATATATATTTTTTTATAACATACTCTTTAGAAAGTTTTCAAAGGTTTCTAATATTAATATGCAATAAGAGATTAGTGTCATGGGATAATTTCCCGAAACAAAAAGGTTTGACAATTTTAACGTTGTACATTGACCAGGGAGGCATGCAGACATTTAAATAGGAATTTGCTCTCGAGTCCACATGCCTGAATGTGCACTAAACAAAATAAATGTCTATTGTACAGTACAATTATTTACAAGAAACACGTCGCTATGCAGCAATCATTCATCATTCCGGCTCTCCCGGCCCTGCCCTCAAGGAGGCAGAGAACAAGGAAACTTTCGCCAGGGTCTTCAGCCCTTTTTGTTAAGCCACTGGTGGCGGTCTTACTGTACAGAAATTAATTCATCACTGTATTGAATGAAAGGCCTGATCAACATTCAATAGAGGCTATTAAAACCTAATTATGAATTAATCATTTCTAAAAAAAAAAATTAAATATTACAGATAGTTGTTTTATTTTATTTTTTATTTTTATTCTAAAATCAAATCTGCTGTTATTGAAATTGTAATTCAGATCAACATGCATATAATTTTAGTACTATTAAGGTTTTTATACAGAAAGAACAATTTGTAAAAAAAAGTCAGAAATTAAAATCAGTAAATTTTAATTTTTAATAGAAAATTTTAATAGAAAATTATAGCTGCTTGTCTTGTGCAGCAACACATGTTGTATATGGATCTAATGGTTTAGGTTTTGAAATCCATGATTATAACAGGTTACTCAAATCACACGTCAGCAAAGTGTAAGCCGGTGTATTCAGCTTGCCATATGAACCGTATACAGCCACAAAAACCAGACAAGGTCAGCATTGGACTTGGCTCGGCTCTATTTGACTATAATACTGAAACACTTTTAAACACAGCTTAAGAGAAAAACTGGGCCAAATCAAGCATTAAATTATGTACCGCTTTAGATTACTATGGATAGAGCCAATAAGAGTTTTACAGTAGGATAATTTGATGTTTTATTGGTTTTTTATAAAAACTAAATTTATACTTATCTGAAGAAAAGAAACAAAAGATACATTAATGCAGACCTATGTTAGGAATCTGGTCAGACTTATACTGTAGCAAACATAGTCAATAAAATTGTATTTTACATATTTTCTATTGGCCTCAACATCACTTGATTGTAATTAAATCATCTAGTTCTTTGTATTATACATCTTTGCAAAGATTGGCTTTTATATTGAGTAGTAAATTTATTATTTATTATCTACATTGTAAGGTTGAACACAAAACAATGTATCATAATTTTTGCAATGATTGTGTTACTAAGGTCATTTGGCTATTATTATGTATTCATTTCCTGAACTGAACTTGAATTGAAAACAAATAAAGGGACTGAATATATATTTAAAAAAAAAACAAAAAAACAATCAATCAAAAAATTTACAAGGCATGCCGGAAAACAAATGAAACAACATTTCCAAAATGCACGAAGCAAAAGGATATTATTCTATAGAGAGGTACATTCTAATCGGAAATACTTTATGATGTTTTAAATGTTATTGAGCAATATGCATCTTCCTTGGTAAATGACACAACCTGGATTGAAAGTATTAAATATTTAAAAACTGCAAATGTGAACCACTGTTTAGATTTGCCAAATTTTATATGTGTACTGTAATATTGTACACTTCAATTTTATTTTCAGACTCAATCGAGCTGAAACTTTGTGCTCCATTATTATAGACCAGTTTGATTTTACGTTGTATCAGTATGTTCAGTTTTGTACACACTGAGATATAGGCACATTATGCACACACTGAAAAACATTCAACCACATAACACAAGTTAATGCATGTACCATTTACAGTAGGTTTACACACATCACGCAAATGTCCACGCACTTTATATTCACAAAAATGTTCATCTTACAGTGCACATAAGTGTTTTGAAATTAAAGTGTTTATGTACACACCAGGGTTAACAGCGCAGACACATTCGCAACAGTGCTGATGGCACGCACACATAATCACACAAATGATCGTGTACAGACAAGAACATGTGTCAAAGACACACATGTACAATCAAAAGCTTCAATGGCAAACACACATTCACACAACGGTCTACGCACATTATTCATACAATATTCATGTACTGTACACACAAGCATATAAAGTGTCAACGATACTGTACATAAAGTGTTTATGTACACATAAGTACCAATGATACACCATAGAGAAGTGTTTGTACACATATGCACACAAGTGTCAATGATACTCGTAAGCATATGTACAAAAAATTAATATTTTATAATTAATATATATTAGTAATCATTTGTAAATAACGCATGCTTATGATGAAACTCCAAATTGCCAATCTGCTTTCAACTACTGTATAGTAAAATCTTTGTGTATGATTCACAAATGAGTAACAATATAAATTAATCCCTTGATTCACATGCCTGGCTTAAACGTCACCACCTCATTATCAATACAATTAGCACAGCCACCAGGTAATAACAACAAATTCCTATCCTCATTATAAACCATATCAAATGATAACTTACCTTTTTATTCAGTTTTAACCAGGTTTGGTAGCTTTTGCTATCAGAATACTGGAGCCCAAAGAACCAGATTTCTCGCAGACCAATTGTTTTTACAACCTATCAAAATAGAAAAAAAAACAAAAAACAAAAAAAAAACATTAAATGGAACATTGTGTGCAGCAAATAGTGTACTCCCTTTAAAAACAAAAATCTTTGGTTCAATATCAACATCCTCAAAAATAACATTACTAATAATTATCAGTCAAAGTATAATTATGAGACAAAATATATTGAAAAAAATTTGGAGGTTTTGGAAGCAGTTTCAAGACCAAAGAAACAGAAACACTAATGAGGTGACAGGAAATAATTAACATATCAATATTGCATAGAGCTTAACAATAATTATCCCCTCTTAGTAATCAAATACTGTAGATAAACAGTTTGGCTTTGATAGGCCAATACTTTACTTAATTTTAATTTATCCCCTAAAAAATAGATATTGTACAAACCGCACTGAAGGTGCTTTAAGAAAATCAATAAAACCACTATAATATGTTCTGTTATGGCAATGTGTTGAATAACATGAATTCTACATTTTTAATGAGAAAAGGGTTCCACACGAGGGGATTAAATTTGCTACGCAGACCGTGCGGCACCATTTGAAAAAAATAATTTTTCTGCTCTTGGAAAAATTTTTTTTTTTTGTATTAAAAGTAAGAAGTAATATTATCAATAAAATTTTGACCGGATTGGAATTTTTTAATATAAAAGCTTCCATATTCATTAGAGCAGTCATATATTATTGAGTTGTATTACAGTAAGTGACAGAATGTAAACATTAATAACAAGAAATAAGTTAAATTTAGCAACAATATGTTACAATAACAGTATCATACATACTGTCATCTAAATTAAATTTGAATAACACCATTCTACAGGAACACATTCTTTATAATATTAAGTTCAGGTCTAATGACAGTAATTGATGTGGTATGATTCCTAACATAATTAGATGATTAACAATAACATATTGTAAGACTAGAGCACTGAAAGATATTATTATCCTTTCTGCTACTGGGATTACTACTGTATCACTCGCGGCAAGGAGAGAAACTCTTGTGTTGTCTTTTGGCAGGGGTTTACTTAAGTCCGACTGCTTTCATGACATGTTGCCTCCTTGCCGCGGGCAGAAGCGAACCCTTAGATCTAATACAACTAGTACTCCTGATGTCCCTAGATGTAGAACTGAAAAATACAGAAGGTCTGCCATACCTACTATTGTTGATTAGATCAATGCAAATAATTAAGGTTAATTTCTTAGCTCACCAGATGCTGTTTTTTTTTTTTTTTTTTTTTTTTACCTGAATTTACAATATTAATCCTTTTTTTAAAAAATTTAAATCCTGTATATACTGTAATAATAATACCTTTTTAATAAGAATTAATTGAAGTTTTCAGAAATTTAATAATAATATGGTGTTTTTTTATGGTTTTTTTTTTGTAATATTAATTTTTAACAATTCTAATGCAATTATTTGAATGTTTCGATATTTTGATATGTATTTTTTAAACCTGACATGTTTTCCTATGTTGTCTTTATTTATTGATTGTAAACAAACGTTTTTAGCCATGTGCTGCTGTTTTGTTTTGTGTTTATACCTTACTAAATAAATAAATAAATATTATGTACTTATGCAAGTCTTTTGAAGTGTTTATTCTGCCTTAAAAAGTACAGATACAATTTTCATGTTTAGTTCTGAACCGTAAAACCTCCATAGAAGCACTGTTGGATGGCATGGAGCGTCTTTCGAGAAAGCATCTTTTCAAGATGGGCTTCTTTTTTAGATTACTTTTGCAAAAATAAAGAGCGGGGAAGGGGGAGGGAGGGTGGCTTCTTTTCAAAATGAATGTTGTACATTTTGGGAATTACAACTATTAAACACAATGAAATACGATTGGCGATGTTTTTGGGAAAGATTTACGGAGTGACTTGTATACAAATAACAAGATCTTAATTCTCAGATGAATGGAGACTATATCGAGTTGGGGATTATATGCTCATGCTTAGGAGTGACAGCATGCTATTAATATCTGAGAGAATTAATTAGTATCATAATTTAAAAGTGTCAGTCAGTAAAACTGATAATTCTACAAGTCAAAATGAATCAAAATTGTATGTTCAATGGGTCACATTGCCTGACTGTCTATTACTTTTTATTAATTAACAATTAAATGATAAAATAAATAATGATTAATTTGGAATTGTTAAGCGCATAGAGTTTTAGATATGCGTTATATAAATATACAATAATAATAATAATAATACCGACAATAGGTTCAGCTCTTGAAACAATCAACAAATTTTTTTTTAATTTTTTTTTATTTAATCAGGTTTATAATATACATGTTTTTGTTTATGGCCACTTTTTATACTCAGTGAAGAAAGTACGCATCTGCTTAACAGTTATGTCCACAGATGAAAGAGTAGCACCATCATTCCTTATGTGCAATTGACTCCTGTGTTGATTATAAGTCAAAATTATAAAAAAATAAGTCATCTTCGGTACTAAATAAGGCCTGTGTATTTTAGCTCAAAAAACCGCAGTAGCTAAAAAATCAATTACTTTCTGTTCAATGGAAAGATAATATTAGAATTTATGCAAAAGAAGGTTAATTCATAACTATATTTTGCTGGCAACCTTTGGACATACTGTATACCATAGTTATATATTCTTAACAGCTTAATATCAGGCAATACATCTAATCTTTGAATGGGTGTTTTCCTTTGATCTTTGGACTACAGGGCAGTGATACCAAGTAATAAAGTATGTCAAAAGGACACACCTACACTAAACACCAGTTTTCAAACCATAATCATTCATTCAGTAATTAAATTTAAAAATTATGATATACATTTTAAATATTACTTAATTCAAACAGTAAATGCAAGGAAACTGACATATAATTTATATTATGACCATGCTGTTTTATAAACTACATTTTTAAAATTAAAAAAAACTCTATAAAGATACAAACAAAAATTATCAAACAAGACAAAATAAAAATAACTAGAGGGAACATTCAATCAGATTAAACTAAAAATGTTAAAGATTAATTTTCCGTAGAGTACCAGGCGTGTTGTCACAACACTAGGTGGCGCCCTCTGTTGTCAACTAGACATTGGTTACCATTCATTATGCCTGAATGACTGCATAGGCTTTCTGGAATAGGCATTTTAAAAACTAATATTTTACCATCAAAATATGTTAATATGTTTAGTGCTTAACGCCAACAAGGGCTCTAAACGCTTCACATTACTACTGTAACCCCAGTCATTGGATTAAACTCCGATGGAACAAAAAACTCAAGCTTCCTTGGGGAGTATTCCATAAAGTTGTAGCAGTTACATCAGTGCATTTTGGCATTTTACCCTACCAGATACCCATTTATACTCCTGGGTGGAGAGAAGCAATGCAGATAAAGTGCCTTTCCCAAGGACTCAAGTGAAATGCACAGCAAGGGAATTGAAACCCCGACCTCGAGGTTGGGAATCCAAACTGTTCCTACTGCTCCAAACCACTTTAAAAGGTACTAAAAACACAAAAGATCATATTATATTAGTTACCAAAGACACACATTTAATCATCAATTAAAATCTACAAAGAAAAATTAAGATATAACATCTTAATAATTACATTAGAAATTGGGATCAATGGTTTGTCAGTTAAGACAAGGTCCGGTTGAACGTGTTTTGTGTCGCCGATAGCAACGGAGTATTATCATGCGGTACAGTAGAAACCCTCATTTACGAACCCCGATTTAACAAATTCCCGATTTTACAAACGTAAATTAAAGGTGATGATGTCATAAAAATTTAAGTGAAAGATTAAAAAAAAAAAAAATCCGCTCGAATTGTAACTGGTATTAGCATGCATACAACACAACACACCATACTATACAGTACTATGTAATTCTCAAATGAAGAAAGCCCTCTAACGGGCCTCTTCAAAGCCAGTGTTTTTTTATGGCTTCACACATGTGCATGCGACAAATTTTACTTCTCTTTCAAACATCGTTTTCAGCTTTAAAAGTCAACATAGTGCTTGATTGTTTTATTGAATAATCAATATACATAATAATCAAGTATCTATGGAAGTTGTGTTGGAGTAAAATCCACAATCTAGGTATTTAAGAATGTAAAAATGTCCGATAAAAACAAATTTGTAGGGATCAGAATGCTTAGAAGCTGCCTACTGTAGGCCTAGGCCCCCTCAGACTTAGCTGCGTAGGCCTACAGGCCTAGTCTGGGCCTAGTTTATGCCAGTGTAAGTAGTATCAGAGCAAATATATAGGAATTTGAGTTAACCCCGATTTTACGAATACCCGCATTTACGAACGGCTCTGGGCCTGTGCCGTACGTAAATGAGGGGTTCTACTGTATTGTGATGTAACACTGTAGTACTCTATGGTACAGGACTATTATTATTAGTTAATAATTATTATTACTTCAGTATTGACAAAAGGTTAAAAAGATATGGCCGTTTATAAAAATATTAGTCTCAACACTTATATTTTTTTTTTTTTTTAATTTTTTACTTCATAATTTATAATTAATTCTAAAAGAAAAATTAGTTATTACATACTGTATAATTGGTAGTAAAATTGTTTGTCATTACTGTGATATCAAGCCTGGGGTCCAATAAAATACAAGCCTGATGCCAGTGGGTTCATGGGGTTCGAAAGAACGGTAACCCCTTTTCCAGAAATGCCCTTCAAATTATTAGAAATTTAGCATTTTTACTGCCATTTCGAGACATCTCAGGTGATACTGTATCTTTAAAATTTACCCAACCATGGTGTGGCTGATTGAAAGTGCCCTTATGTGAAAAATTAGAACTCCCTCTCTCCTCCAAAACCCCTTAATTAATTAAATAGATGCTTCACAATGTGTCATTAATGTACCAGGTCGGTTCATTGATTTCAGTAAAAGAAAGTATTCCAGTATGACATTATATAGGTTTTAGGAATTTAATAACTAATGTAATTATTGACCATAATATGATAATAATAAAGGCAGTACAGTAGTATGTATTTTGTATCCTACTGTATATCAAATCGGCAAGAAACATGGTATAATGTTGAATGAAGCTATGACGAGGACTGTTTAGATTCAACTTCTTTGGTCAAACAAAACAGGGGACTCACGGATATATCTATAATTTACTTAGAGGTTAATGCACGATGCCCCTACAAATTAAAGGAAAATAATTTGCATCATTAAATTTGTATTTACTTATTAATTACTAAAATTAGAATTTGAATTATACTATACACCAATTATTAGCTACAGTATTAAAGAAATAAATAAATAAAAAGATCAATATTCAACATCCAAATACTGTATAACAAATTCAAATTGGAAATTAATAAATTAGTTATTTCAAGAAAATAAAACAAGTCAAAGGACACCAGTAAGATAATTTTAAAGGGGAAAAAAAAATTCATTATCAAAACCCTGTGTGTGAAACTGGCAAAATTGAAGGAATTCAAAATAAAAAAAAATTCTTTCTTCATAACACACTTTTCAACAAAAAATAAAAAGGACAGTCATATGGGGGTACCAGGATGTGTATTATTGTGCTGTAATATTATTTTACCTTAGGCATGGTGACCCCTATTGAATCTACTCTACAGTACATTACCTTCAACTACTGCCAGTTCACCATCAATCATTTCCTTATTACCCGTACTTTAAATTTAACGCATAAAATATTAGTACAATCGGACTATACTATAGGTAATGACTAATGCCAAAAAGTATTGTTCAAATTATATTAATGAGAGTGATGATAATAGGAATTTATATTTTTTTAAATGGTAATCTATTGCATTAAAACAGCCAAGCAATAACATACAGTAGGCATCACCGCTGTCAAAAAAAGGCGTAATATGACGACAATGTCAGTGATCAAGAGTTGCGATACAGTAATTTATTAATTTTTATTAATGTAATAGCCTGTAATTTAATAATTATAATTTGTGCTGAATGCATATGCCTCTGCCTAAATTATCAATTACTATTAGTTTTTATCATAAATATTGTGCTCAATGGTTTAATATGAGGATTAATACTGCTCTGAAAGGGATTTGTAAAACGTGGCTTGGGGACTGGCGTTTAACAGAGGTATTAATATAGTGCAATAAATAGCATTACACAGTGCAGACCAAGGGCATGAAAGCAATTTAACAAGGAATAAAAAATTTTCCTATTTTGGGTTATTCGTCAAAGCTAATACTACTGTATTGGGAGGAACGTTTATTGTAAATCACTTTAATAAGAACAAAACAATAAATTCTCTCTTGTCTAACCTTCAAATTGAATAGGATTTAAATTTAGCATCATTCTATGTATTCTATTTTGGTCTAAATTATTACCTTTAACTACTACTGTACTTCACGATAATACTGGCTGACAATCTAAACTCAAGAATCTGACACTGGTGACAGACTCAGTTTCATGACATATTGGAGGAAATGAAATAAATTGTCTGTCCATTTCTGTTGTCAACAATGTTGTACAGTAGGACTGTACTTCCTCAGATGTCAAACAGGGTTTTCAGACAAAAAAAATCTGATAGTCTATGCTGGTATAAACTGTTCAGCAGTATTCTGCTAACTTTTACACCGACGACCCACACTTTGGAAATTTTAAAATGAGTTGCAACCCATCGACCCCTTATATAAACGCATATTAATTTGGGAAGAGACGCCTATATTGTGCTTCTGTTTATTTATGCAACAAAAGTTTAATTTTGGTGTATTTTATCCTTTCTGGTTAGACTACTAGATATATAAGTACAGTAGTTTTTTTCTTTTTCCAAAATATGTTATTAAATCAATTAATAATAAAATATTACATTGTTTGGTGAATTTTCATACCCGAGGTGGGCTTAAGAAACAAGAGCTCGCTAGTTTGCGCGTTCCTGCAAGGGTGCAAGTTATTATATCGAGTTATTTGGAAGAGCTAATAAGATTGAAATTCAGAATATTCATTTGTACAAAATTAACTTACAATTGAAAAAAAAAATAAAATTACTTAAAATTGGAAAAAAAAATTGAATACCAAGATGTGATTCGAACTCACAACCTTAAGTTCTTTAAAACACATCCTTAACCAACCGTGTCATTCATGCGACGTGCCCTATTAGTGGTAACGACAGTAATGTACACTGATTGTTGAAACCCCTATGTTGGTTTGTATGTGTAGAGGGAACCCTGGGGTCCGACTGAAAAAAAGATCGATGAACGTTTGTTGGAAATCACCTCTAGTTTATGTGTACAAAATTTCCTGTACATCCGTTCAAAACTGGCGATGATTGGATGCTTTTAAAGTTCTGGTAAGAAGAACAAGAACAGCAGTAAGGCTCTGTGGTCAGGGCCTTGCACAGACCCAACAATTTATGCATACGATCAGCAGTATTGCTACTGTAGTTACCAGAGGCAACTGTCATATTTACATTATGAATTTATAAATAATTCATGCTTTTTATTTTATCGTAATTCTACATGTATTGCAATCATAATTCTACATAACAATGACTAAAGATGTATTGCAAATTGACATTAAATTTCTACAAGAATTACTGTATAAAAGAATACTAAACAGTACAGTATGTGTTATATGTAATACAATTTGTTTGCTACATGGCCAATGTACAGTAGTTATTTCATTTTATTGAATTAATTATTTATCTACACTGTATTGTTTATATTATATTGTTATTCCACGATTCCTTGATGTTATGTTTGTTGAATTTCTTGCTGTTGATTGCTATTGTGTGAAATGCATTTTAAAACCTATTTATTGACAGATGTCCCAGAATAATCAAATGTCCTTCCATGTCCAGTTGGAATAGGTTACTTTGATGGTGTGAACCAAGCTATTAAGGAAGTGGTTTATTCACAACCAGGAAACAAAATTCATGCAATTTATGTACAGTATAGAAACTGATAAATCTACTTATGAGGGAAGTGTAGTTTTATACGACTATAATATTACAAATTACTAAACTAAATCATTGAATAAAATATTAATAATATTATGTAAAGTAGCTAGGTGCTTGAGCCAGAAATCTGTCTGTTTGTTTTGTACACTGTAGTAAAGTATAATATGGGCAAGTTCGTACCATGTACTGCATGTGTTTTACAATTTGGTTGTCCGCTTTGTCCTCTCAACTACAAATCTTGCTACATTGTTTAATTTGTTACCTTCTAAAAAGAGGTACAAGTAAAAACAACTGGGTACTTATGGTGAAATTGCTATAGTAACAGGTCAAAGTTCTGATAACATGTGCTTTGATAACTTGTGATAAAGCAAGGTCACATTCTCTTTTCAGTGAACACACTATTAGCCTACAAACACTTGTTAATTATGGTTTTAAGTATCAATCAAACAACAACCAAACTTAGATCTTGCAAATCACCTCTATAAATTTTATTCGCTTATTTATAAACGTCATTCTTTGCAGCAACAAAGTGCTTCTCTATCCCAGTTTATTGGGTCTATATGCTTAAGCATTGCTGCTGTAATCAGTGCAGGAGCAAGCAAAACCACCAGGTACTCAATTATACTCCTGGATGGAGAGAAGAATCTCAAGGACATATGTGAAATGCACAGTGAGGCATTGAAACCCCAACCTCAAGCTTGGAAAACCAACCCGTTCCCGCTGCGCCGCACCACTTATATAATACAGTTGGGCCTTCTTGACTAACAGTAACAAGCATCATTAACCTTCATCAGTAGCCTACTGTAGATCATCTCCAACATGTCAAGTTAGGATTGCTTTTGTGTGAAATACACCAAGGATATTACCCATAAATTCTGAAGATCTATTTCAAGTTTTGTCAAAGTCAGGTGCAGAATTTGTGCAGTGCACCAGCAGAGGTGTAATAGACTGAATCAGTCACCAAAGATGACATCAAATTTTGGCTGAGCGGGTATTAAACGTTGTTTACAGCGTAAAGTCTAGATGCTAATACATTGAGCGGAGTCGAAAGTGGTGTCTAGTATATCCTCTAAAATGTAATGAAGTTAGCGTAGAAGATACTTATTCATAACAATGTACTGTATACATTTTGAATGATTCATAGATTCATGAGACTAAGGTTGATTTGACTTAAATTTCCATAGACTAAAAATATGAAGAATTTTGAGAGGCCTTCTAGGGGGCATAGGCCCGTCGCTAGCGGGACTCCCCACATCAAGCGCCGACTAAGGTGATCGCTGTTGATTTAGAGGTACATACTCAGCTTAAATACTGCTACCACGTCATTTTTTTGCAATTTCTTTATGAAATATTCAAACTATTGGACAAACTTAAATTGCTGAATTGTAGAATAAGATGTTTCTTTTGGCTATGATAGCCAGTAAGTCGGAAGAACGTTGTTGTATGACTCTCCAGTCTAGGGCTAGGCCTGTGTTCATGTGACAAGGCTATGCAAAAAAAGTACAAGTTTTCCATTTGTTTCTTTCACTCCATTTCAAATCTAACAGGTCAATACTGTGATGTTTATTAAAGAAATATTTACCAAGGCTTTTCAATAAGTTATTTTACGATAAAATATACAAATTAATAAGTTTGAAGAGAGTCAAAATTTACTCGAGCGGAGGCTTATCATCGTGTGAAAAAACTGCCACCTACTGTAACGGTTTGTTTTGATGTTATACCCATTATACCGGCTTTGATTTCATGAATCACTCGGTCTATTGCGTTCCTTAACATGTACACATAGGCCTTAATGCACAAGAGACCCGCGGTTTAAACAAAAAGACTGACATACGGGTTTATCCGAAAGACTGACACACAAATGAATCTTTATTTCAGTCCTCCAGCTAAAGTGCAAGTAGAGTAGCAGTTGAGAGGGTCATCAATAATATAGCATACTATAGCTTTGTACTATACCTGATCAAAGAGTTGTTTGCCTGTGGTGTTTGGTTGGATGGCAAACTCCAACTCCGCATCCATCGTCGTCACTCGAACATTTACCTACAAAAAAAACAAATTGAAATGAATCATTACGTTCATGTTTGTGGATGTAAAAATTATAATCAACAAATAAAATAAAATATGGACAAAAAAAGAACACCAAAACTAGTATATTAATATTGATCAGACATACAAAATAAAATATGGACAAAAAAAGAACACCAAAACCAGTAATTAATATTGATCAGAATTGCATTAACATACTGTAAACGTAGAACAGGCCTGATGTAGTAGTTTGCAACCTGCTCTATACTACATTAAAATTGGTATATTAAAACATGATATTTGGTATTTATTATGAATTTTATGGAAACTGACTTTTATATAATATTTTATTATACTTGTTTCTTTATTGATAATAAACAACTGTACATTAAACTTTTTCCTGTACACCATGAGGACAGTTCTGAAAATAACTTAAAATTTGAAATGATAATTTCTAAAAATTTATTGTTTAAATTTAACCATAAATAATTCAATATTGAGAAGCACAGTGCTCTATATCCCACACAGTATATTCACATTAAAAACTACAAGCTTGGCCAAGCATTCCATTTAAAATATATAGGAAACCTCACAAATACACTTGGCATTCTTAAACTGACAATGTTTAAACAGAGCTATTTTAAGGCACATTTGTGTCCTCTCCCCACTGATCTCTTGGTATGTAACTCAGTAGTTTTCACCTGTGGGCAGCTGAGGGGTGATGAGAAGTCATGGATGGTATTTCTTGATGGTTTATATTCTGTAGTGTAATGGCAATATGAGGGATGATAAGCTTCTTTAGTAGACATTTCTCCACAGTATCTCTTCTTAATAAGGGGATCTGATAATATTGAAAATTGTATTACGATGCATGGAGTGAGGCCTGTTATAACGAATAATAAAGCGCCATAAAAACTAACAAAAAAAATTATTATGTGTGTAATTTTAGTAGCCATTTCTCTATAGTATCTCTTCTTAATGAGGGGATCTGATAATACTGAAAATTGTATTACGATGCATAAAGTGAGGCCTGTTTAACGAATAATAAAGTGCCATACTTCCAATAAATTATTATGTGTGTAATTTTCCAAAATACATAATGTATTGACCCGTTTACTACCACATCTTGTTTTCTTTTTAAAATATTATCTCGGGGGAAAAAAAAATCAATTGTAATGCATGTTATAATTAGTTCACTGCACTATATTATTTAGTTGTGCAAACTACTGTATTCCTAATTTGAATCATAGAAATTAAATGTTTTTAACCTTATTTATTAACATTTTTTGGGGGAAAATATCTGTTGATTCTGCAACCAATGATATTTTGTATCATCGAGACACAATTTCCGATTTCTAATTGACAGTACTAAATAATATCAATAACAGCAGCAACCAATGATTGGTGAGTAAATGGTCAAATATGCGAAAGCGTAAGAAGACTAGAAGAATCAAGTAATGAGAGAGCAGCTTCGCCCAGTCGGCTAATCTGGTGGTAGCCACTGCGTGAGTGCCCTGAACCGTTGAGATCTCTAGGTCCCCGGTTCAATTCCCAGCACTGCCTCTCCTTGTGTTTCAGTCAGAGGGCAAAAATACAAGTTTACAATAGCGCACCATCTTTTGGATGAGACGTTTGAGTCGTTGGTCCCATGTGTTAAAGAACGCAGTACACTCTTCGAAAAACAGAAGGGGATGATTGTCTCCCGGTGTACTGCCTAATCACCACCAGAAGGACCCCACTGAAAATATGTCTTCTACACTTTTGTGGGCTATATCCTTGGTGTGTAAACCAAATAAATCCAATCCAATCCAAAGAATCAGGTAAGAATAAAGTCAGACAGAATTAATGATAATAAAATAAAATAGTAACATAGAAAACACCAATTGGATATTAACTATACTTTAATACTGCTTGACAAGTGCCTCTCTCAGGTATGGGGAAAAGATAGAAACCGCAATGTGTAAAGTTGGAACGACTATATTTGAACCATCTACGGTAATTGAATAATGTCAAGAAAAAAATTGTGTCCAACGACAGTCATTACATACTGTACTTCTTAAGTGAACATTGGCCGAATATCAAATCTTGGGCAGCTAAGATACCAGGTGCATTATTACAAATTAGGACTAATGCAGTTTAAATTAAAATACGAGTAATATTTGGTTCAGGGATGTCACCACGCTGGTCGGCGGTGGACGGGCCCGTCCAGCACTCAACATTTCCGACCAGGATTTACAGGCTCCCGACCACCACTATTATTTCAACAGTTTACAAATTGTAACAAAATAATTAGTTTACCTAAACACAATAGACAAGCTAAATTGATAAAGACAATAAGAATACAATAAATGTTTCCGTGGTTACGTTAATTGTAACAAAATACTGCACTGCCCTGCTATTCATCGCTAACTTAACAGCCTAGGCCCAGTTGAGTCATAGCAAAGAGTATAAATAGAACAAGAGAGCCAACAACGCTCATTGGGAGCGTAAAAAACGATACGCTCTACGCAGCTAGTGTTGGACGCCAACTAACGCTTGTATATGTTTTATTACCCAGTACTGCACCGCGCACTGTAGGTTTGTCTGTTTATCTGTTCTCCACAAGATACTGTGCTTTTGTTTTCTGCTTACTGAGTTTATAGCG